CAGCAATACTGAGTATTTTAGCAGCATATACCATCAGGGAGCTGAAAAATGCTAAATCAGTTACAGATTAGAGAAAAATAATCACCTTCTAATCTTCAATGGCGAATCACATTTTTAAATAACAGCAAGTCCATGTACTAATAAACATAAGATGCTTGTTCACATTGTTCAAAGTGAAGCTGAATGAAAAACATAAAGTAGTTGAGAACCATGATTTAAAAAGGAAAATCCCATTAGAGACACATCCGGAAGGAATATTATTTTATTCCTCAAAGACTTACTATTTATTTATTTATTTATTTATTTATTTATGATGTATGTGAGCAGTCACTGTTAACTTTGTTTCTTCTAGCTCTATATGGTTGATGTCATGGTTTTATGCGTTCGATACTGAGATTTTGGAGATAAGAGAAAAAAATCATTCTGGCATTATTATTATAAGCAAATCAGCAAAGCAATACCAACTTTAACAACTCTGTGAAACTACCATACAATGGAACTCTTGTTAAAGAACTTTATCGGACAAAAGATTTTGAGGGAAAAAAACCCCAAAAAAAGATGGACCCCTGTTAAAAATCAACAATACGAGAAATAGGAACTAAAGCCAATTGCAACCTAGTCATCATTCTCTTATGAGACGATCCATTACAATTAAACAANCTAAAAGGCTCTATATTTTACTTCGCTAAAAGACACTATATTTTACTGCACTATAAGGCTATACAATATGAACATAACATCAACAATACAAATAAACAAAATAAATAATATTATTTAACACAAACAATCAAGTAGCATTTTTGGTCACAAACATAACATAAATTCGGATATCAAATAAATCAAATCGGGTATAGAAGAAACAAAATTAAACACTAACATAACAAAAATTCACATGGAAACATACTAAACAATACTAATGCATGACTATATGAGTTTCGGCATAAACTAAATTGAAATACCTCGATGTAAATATTATTGAAATCAAATTTTTGCACCCGAAACACGCAATCCAAAACTTCTTTTGTGTGTGGGACCTACACTTCTTGCTCTTTATGGGACGGATGGGGCCGAATTTTTTTTTTTTTAAATTGTAGGCGGGGTGGGGGACCAGAAAACTTTGAGTTTGATTTTTTAATGGAGATCGTTGTCTGTGGGAAGAAGACGACCCGTTTTTATTAGGGCAATTCGTAGTTCAGTACAACGAATTGTAATTCGCAGTACTGTACTACGAAATGTCATAAAAAAATTTTTTTTTTTTTAAAACTGCGAAATGCCTTAACGACAAAAAATCCGTTAAGCCAATTCGCAGTATAAAACTGCGAAATACCCATTATTGTATCTTTTTTTTTTAACATAAAAAATCTATTTTATGTTCAAAAAATTATTAATTAAGTTTTGGACTCTATAGTTGAGTCAATCGCGCGTAATTAGATGCAAGTAGTGGCGGAGCCAGAATTTTCACTTGGGACAAAAAAAAAAATGAATACAAAAAATAAAAAAATAAAAAAAGAAGATTCAACATATAATTGTATATACAAATAAAAATATTTACTAGGTATATAGAGTAATTTTCAAGCGAAAACGTATCAATTTGGGTAAATACCAAGAAGATTCAACATATAGGCTATACACATATAAAAATGAGAAATTTTCATAAAACACTATCTTTTAGTAGTAATTAGCCATCTATAGATACCATTTGCTATATTACGGATTACAGATATCTTTTCTGTGGTTATAAGATGTATTTGATGTATTTAAGCTATTGTATTCATGAATACAATAGCAAAAATAGGCGTGAATCAGGGAAGTACAGCTAATCAGTTGTTGTATTCGAATGTATTCGACTGTATTCATGGAGTGAAACATGGGATTACAGCTGGACAGGTTATTGTATTCGACTGTATTCAAGGCGTGAAATAGGGGATTAAACTGTTTTCAAAACGGAAAGTGAATCAATTAACATAATAGACTCCTAATATAACTCAACAAACTCAATTATAACACACAAAATTTGTATTTTTCAGTTACAAAAAAGATTCTCAACCGAAAAATACCCCAAAAATATAGCAATCTTCAGATAAATTATATAATACATCTGAATACATAAATTATATTAATTAAAAAAAACATATGAATACATTCATGGCATAAGCGAGAGAGTGAATGCAATGAAATACATAGAATACAGCGGGATACATTGAAATACAATGAGAAAAAAAGATATTGAATACAATGAAATACAATGAGATACATTGAATTACAATGAAAAAAAAAATAGTGAATACAATGAAATACAGCGAGATACATTGAAATGCTCTTAAAAAAAAGTTAAAAGAATCTTCAAATTGTTCAACCCCAAACTTCAGAAGACCTATTTTAGTCGACGATTTTCCGACGACCCATTGAATTCCGACCATGATTCCATAAGCAGCGATGAGAGAAAGAAGAAGAAAACGAGAAAGATCGCTGAAGAGGAAACGAGTTTAGGAGGAGAATGGGAAGGAAAACGACAGTGACAAGCCTTGGCGGATTCAACACTTGCTACACAGTCCCCATTACAATTCCAACAATAACGCTGATGTTTGCGGGCATGGACGTGACGCTTCCGCAAGACAACTTCTTGATCCGTAGCAGTTCAAGCAGTACCACTTGCCTCGCTGTGGCTGCTTCCCCTGCTGAAGCTGAGGGTATTTTTTTTTAATCAAAACACATACAGTAATTTCTGAAGTGGGCTTTGCACAAATCCGGTGGAAGGAGGAGGAGATCGGAAATTTCAATGGGATGGGGGAAGAGAATGGGATGTATCAAAGTAGAGAGAGAAAGAAAATAGTGTAATTGAATAGCGTATTTAGTGGTTTAGGGTTAGGAGGTAACCAAAATTAAATATTTTGCTATAACCTTAAAAGGTATCTATAGAATATATTTTTTTAAATGGTATTTATTTAAAATAAATAAGGTGTTAACCTTTGCTATAGGAGGTAAAAATTCCTTTAAAAATATTAACTAGGTATATAGAGTAATTTTGAAGGCGAAAACGTATCAATTTGGATAAAGGTGACTCCGCCATTAGATGCAAGAACCATTAAAATAGAACAAGTCCACCTTTCGCATGATTTTTTATACAAGTTGTAAGATTTTCTTAAAAATCGCGAATTTTACTACCTATAGAATAGAAATAGTAGAATCTCTTCATATAATCAAGAGTGTGCATAATATATTAAAGAGCAATATAATATTTTTATTTTCATATTAAGTATGACTCGATCAAGAAAATTTGTCAAAGTGTTAGGATGCTAGCTACTAGCTAGTAAATATGAGATAATTAGAGACTGAATTTGTTCACCATATAAGAGGCAACAAAAAAAAAAAAAAATCATTTTAAGTACTTGGTATACATATCCAATTATATACGTCCAGCTATAATTAATAGTCTTTCCTGCTTGATTATTTTTACCAAGTCAAAATGGATTTAATAACCAAACCCCACTCTTCTTGTGGATAAGATTGGTTTCATAAAGTGATGAACATTGGAGTAATAAACTCCCAGTATGAAAAAAAGAAACTAGATATATTTATGTTGTTAAAAAAAGAATACTACTAAAATAATTCCATATCTAGAAATTCTTAATCTTTATTTTCCTTTTGTATTTTTAGTTCATGATTATGTTGGAAGTAACGTGATTTTGGTAATTTATCTGATGATGTGGTAATTTCTTTTCTTTATTTTTTTCTAAAAAAAAATCGTGTTGTCAATTATTCCCTCAGTTTCAATTTAGATGATCTAGTTTGACTCGGCACGGAGTTTATGATTTTTTTTTTGTTAAACTTGTGTTCTTAAAAGTTTAAGGGGTAAAAGCTTTGTGAGGCTATGACATTTATGTGGTTATAAAAGTTTCTCATTAAAAGTAAAATGGGTAAAATAAAGAGTTTAAAGTTGATTTATCTTTTATTATAATTTTTTTTTAACAGACTAATAAAAAAAATGTGTCATTTAAATTAAAACAGCGGAGTACAATGCAGATAATTGAGATGAAGGGACGTCTTAAAAAGGAGGGCGTGTCATTGTCTCAGTGGTTCGATACGTTCCGTACTGATTTAGTCGTTAGTCGTTTATTCCACAAAAACTCATCACAATTTCTCCCGGTGATTTTAAATTTAGCGGGTTCATACGTGGCAAGTTTCTATTGGTAGCCTGTCTTCTCCCACGCGTTTTAAATAGTGTGCCGGCCAATTCCCTAGGTCTAAATGTTTTTCCTTTTTTTTTTCAAATCTCTTATATTTAAAAATAAATTAAAATTCCCAATAGCTAACTACTCTCTCTCTCTCTCTTGGGGACGAAGTTAGTCAAAGCAATTTTGTTTGATTAAATTATTTCTTTTTGACCTAAATTTTGAGTAGTTCAATTAAAAAAAGGAAGTTTATTCCTAATTATAACAAGATTAATCGTTTGAGAAAATGTTCACAAATAAAAAATAAATACGATAAATTTAAGTTTACCTACAATTTGAGACAAGTAAAGTAATTATTATACAAATTAATATTGTTCATATAATGAATTAAACTTAGCATTAAATTAAACAATTCGAATAGAGCGGGAGGAATATGAAAGATTCTATAGTCAAATCCGTCATGGATTGTAGGTATAGCTAATTGATTGAGTTAATCGAATATTAAGTCGGATTAAATCCATAACCAGATTGTCTGATTTTTATTTATTTTTATTTAATTATTCAGTATCCGAAATTTATTTTTTCGACTAACTTGGATATGCACCGAATAACAATATTAGTCCTTTCAACAAAAGAGATATTAGTTGAGGATGAAAACAAAAAAAAAACGTCAAACCTTTATTCTTTAGTATTATATTATATAGTCTTTTAAAACTTTATAATTGTATAGAAAAAGAAAAAAGAAAAGAAAAACAAAAAGTAGATTCTTGGTCTACATGGTTGTCACAATACACGGAAACAATCATCTATATATACACACACACACAACACAGCGCTTGCGTAATGTCATAGTTTTCTTCCCTCTGTAAATCACTCTTCATATTCATATTTGCTTTTATAGCGCTGACCAGCGGTTCCATTTCTCCTTTTTCTCAGCTCCCCATAATTTTCTTTGTAAGTTTATCTAATTCTTGTTGCAAATTCCCTAATGGGGTTTTTGAATTTCGGTTATTTTTATTAACTTCTTGCAGATTTATGTATACAACATGTGATTTTAGTATTCTACATCTGGGGTCTTGTTAATTGTATCAAAATCTTATTTTCTTGAAGAGATCATGTGTTTGACTTACTAGAATTTGTGTTAAGAATTTTGATACTTGGTGATAAGACTTCTTGATTTTGGTAAATTCAGGTGAAGCCTTATTTTATTTTCTGATGGCGGTGAAGACTAATGAAAGTATTGTGCCAGAGGAATTGATGAAATTGCTTCTAAATTTAGCTACAAAATGGGGGGATGTATTGGATCTAAAGACATTGAAAGTTCACCATTTGAGTGGTGCCTTGACTAATGAGGTTTATCGGATAAGTTGGCCTACCAAGAACAACGAAAATGTGTCGAGGAAAGTCTTGGTTCGTATGTATGGTGAAGGAGTAGAGCGTTTCTTCAATAGGGATGAGGAGATTAGAACTTTTGAGTGCTTGTCAAAGAAAGGTCAAGGACCTAAACTTCTTGGTCAGTTTCCAAATGGTAGAGTTGAGGAGTTCATTCATTCAAGGGTATGTGAAATTTCTGAATAAATTTACTTTGTTCATAAAGTTAGCATTAGTGTTATATATGAAGCTTTTATCTATTGGACATATGTTGCTTTCTAAGTGTATGTTACTATAAAGTTGAAAGTATAGGTGTTAACATTAATGATTTCTAGGAGGTTTTGCCATGTATGTAATGAAATGATCATACTTTTACAGTTTTTGTTTGCTGGGGAAATAGATAAGAGATCAGCATATGTAGAGGGGGTCAGTGGTAGTGCTCTGATTATAATGTATTATTGACTTTTAGACGAGATCACCGTCAGTCTGGTTTTCCCTCCTAAGTCCTAAGCCTAGGTAACATAATGAACTGTCTTAAGTGAAAACTATTACATGCAGATTTTGTACAATGAATGGCTTCTAATCTTGGGAGCAGGCGCCGGATCTTTGAAATAGGATTTTATCAATTTGATGCACTCCTATTGAATGATCGAGCAGCAGGTGGTGCTCCTTGCCTTTTAATCACCTTCACTATTCAGTAGAATAGCGCCGTGTTGTTGAGTCTTTGACCATGTCCAGTTTAGTGGAGTCAGTATTTTATCTGTAAAACACCAGCATACAGTTGCGAGAATAGGGAAAGATGGCCTTCTCTCTTGGGGGCTTGATATAATTTGATTGATAAACCTCCTTTAAAACTGGATACAAATATCAGATGCATATAATATTATTACAAGGCTAAGATATATTTTGGTATTTATTGATTGATTGTTGACCTTGTCTGTATGTCTGTCTTTCTTTGCATTTTCAGACATTATCTGCTGATGATCTTCGTGATCCGGAGATATCTGCTTCAATAGCTGCTAAACTGAGGGAGTTTCATAACCTTGACATGCCTGGTTTAAAGAATGCTCATCTCTGGGATCGTCTCAGGTATCAATAACGTAATATGAAATTTTATCAGTGAAATTGTTTTGTACTAATAGTTTATGTAAATTTTCCAGAAACTGGCTAAATGAGGCAAAGGGGCTGTGCTCTCCTGAACATCTGAAGGAGTTCTCCTTAGGTAATCTAGAAAAGGAAATCAACTTATTGGAAAAGGAACTGTCAAAAGAGTCTCAAGAGATTGGCTTTTGCCACAATGATATGCAGTATGGTAATATAATGATTGACGAAAATACGAGGGCCATTACTATCATCGTAAGTGTTGTAGGCATATATGTTTGCTCAAACTGTCAGAGTTTTAATCTGTTTTATGTTTTCTTTTCATTTTTCTTAATGTGGAATGCTCTCTTCTTCCTTGAGATAATCGGATGTAACTAAAGTACTTTTTGAGAGATCTAATTTGTTGTATTCTCACTATGGCACAACATATCTAAGCAAGTTTTGAACTGCTTTCTTATTCAGGAATTGGCTTTTCTGAAATTTTGTCTATTCCCTATGTTTTGTTGTTTTGTTTATTCTTTTGGCCTTTGACTCCACCACATACTTCCCTTATATCAGTAACTGCACACCTTTTACAACTGAATTTGATAGCTCCAGCAATTCCTATAATGAATACAGACTGAGATTTCTGTTGACATGCATTGCAGGACTACGAGTATGCTGGTTACAATCCAATTACTTATGACTTTGCAAATCACTTCTGCGAAATGACAGCAAATTATCATACTGATACACCTCATATCATGCATTTCAATACTTACCCTGGTAAGCAAATACTAGATGCAACAAGAGACGGAGATCATGCTTGTTTGCTACTCTAATCTCTCTCTTCCCTTCCTATTTCCTTTATTGGATTAATCTATTGACTTAAGAATTTGTTGTTAACTCGTTTTTAAATTTTAAACTTCCAACAGATATAGAAGAGCGACATCGGTTTATACGTGCATATCTCAGCTCTTCAGGTCAGCTTGAAGTTTGAACGGCCTTTACTGTTGTCTGCACCTTTTTGTTCAAAGCATACGGTTGATTTTGTTCACATGAGAAAATATATTCTGATATTAAAAGATTCAGCTTGATACTTTGGAAAACAGGTTTCGAAATAGGCCCGTTATATAGATAATAGGCAATTTGATCATGATATAAGGGTTCAGTTAGTAGGAGGTGTTAGAAATATAAAAATTCCAATACTTACTGGAAAAATAAAAAGTACAGCAGAAGTCCAGCCAAACTGATGCATGTTTATGTCCCTTTAGGACCACATAACATTTTTTATTCGATTTGGATAGGCATCTGTGAGTGAGATTTTTGTTGACCTTTGAGCAACAGAAGGATCAGTATTTTTTGTGCTGGACCAATATGTCAAGAATTTAATAACTTTAGATGTGTAGAACCTGATTCCCAACTAACTTGGGCATAGTAGTATTTGTAATTGTTATTTGTAGGACCTAATGCATTTATAAATTATGATAACAACTCTGGCTCAACTAAAACCAAACATGGTTGTTTCCTTTTCCAATTATCTTACTATTAACAAGTGCAGGCCATCAACCAAGTGATGAGAAAGTAAAGAAGCTCGCTGACGAAGCAGAGAAGTATACGCTTGCAAATCACTTATTCTGGGGATTGTGGGGAGTCATCTCGGTATGTTTTCATCGCCACATTTCACCACGCATTTGAGGGCATAAACACAAAATCAATCCTTTAATCTTTTGTTTGTGTGTGTGTTGTTTCTTTTGCCAGGCATATGTTAACAATATCGAGTTTGATTACATGGAGTACGCGAGGGGAAGATTCGAGCAGTATTGGTTGAGAAAGCCCGAACTCTTGGGTGCCACAGACAACTTGTCCCATGTAAATGGTTCAGCTGAAGCAAAAACAGATTCTCCACTATTGGTTGATGTCAAAACATGTACATTAACAGTATAGATGTGTGCCTTCATTGTAAACAGGCCTATGTCGTATAATGAGTGGAGCATTTAGAATCTTGGATGTTTCATAGAATATGTTGATAGGCTATTATTGAGGTAAGTATCTGTTGTATTGCCAGTGAGAGTGTTCTCGCAAACTATATTGCCCAGTTCAATAAATTCAAATTTTCATTCTCAAGCATAGTCTAAACGATATCTGAAATGCCTACTAAAAATAGGAAAGACAAAACAAGAAAAAGCAAAACAGCTGCATTCTGCATGGGAATTATTCTACCACTTTGTGATGATTGTCATGGAGCAAAATAGCTGGTACTGGAGTCATATTGATTCTGAATTTGATCACTGATTAATCAAATACATTGACCATATCTCATTACATTATTATAAGCAGAATAAATATCAGACTCTAAGCTCTTTGAATTATCATATATTCGTGCCTCACTACAATTTAGGAATTAAAAAAAAAAATGACCGGACTAGAAGGGTTTATTGTACGCTGCATTTTTACAAGAGGTTGTTCCACATTTTACTACAATTTAGGACTAGAATTATAGAAAAGAGAACTAAACACGAGAATATGTTGTTTTCTTCCGATCACAATAGAGCTGCACTTCTTTTTTCCTTATTCCACTTTTACTTATTTGCTAAATACATAAGCCATAGTAACTATTTAGTAAGGCATGAGATTATGCTAAGAATGGTCAAAACCAAAATAGTTAACCTCTTGAACAAAGCGATATTCAAACAAGAACAACATTATAAATTGGTTATAGCAAAGTACTAAAGCATAATGAATTGACATGAAATTCGTCTAGAGTGATTGCATAGTTTTTCACTAATGTAAGCATTATAGTAGACAGAAAACCAACCCCATATAAATATAAAACCAACCAAAAAGGAAGAGAATGGGCGCAAATGTTTATCTAATTTTCATCTCCGAAACCCTTCCACAAAAAATGGGGAAAATAGAAAAAATTTTGCACCAGCCGGGAATCGAACCCGGGTCTGTACCGTGGCAGGGTACTATTCTACCACTAGACCACTGGTGCTGGTTGAGAAGAATACCCGGAGGAAAGTAATTGGATTATAGCTATGATTCTCTCTTCTGTGTTCAAGTTGATACTACAACTAAAATGTGGAAACTATATTCTATTATAGCTACTCATTGACAACTATCTAATGAGTTGCAAATATTTCTAGGAAACTACCAATCAGCCACTCAAAAATTGTTTAAAGAGGACAATCATTATGTTGTTTCATACCTTTTCTCGAAACATTGTGTTTCAAACTTAAAATGCAAATTTATTGTTAAGAAAAAGAAGTGTGTCTTTATTTTCAATTACATAAACTATTTTATTTTCTTTTAAAAAACAATAGGAAATTTCATATAAAAGGTTTTAGTTGGTTTCACTTATAATAGGGGAAAATCATTCTTCTCCTCACTTAGAGTCTTGTAGACATATAAAATTTATTGGGTCTAATCCATATAAAATTTGGATTAAATTCAATTGGGTTAAATAATTAATTTGGGCTTTACAAGTTAAATTAGTCCATTTTATTATTTTCAAGCCCAAGGTCCATTTCATCTTAAGGCCCAAACTCAGGCCATGTGTCAAGTGACATGGCATGTCCAGTCAAACCCAAAGCCAACAAGATGATGCCACGTGTTAAATGATGTGGCAATCCAAGTCAAAAAGCAAGAACCAACCACAGGTTACCAAATGGCTAAAATGACATGGACCAATCAGAATCAAGCAAGAGAGTTCATATGTAGCTGGACTGTCCACCCTCTACAACTATAAATAGAGGGGGTTACATAACTCTCAAGGGACATTCAGAGTTGGAGAAAACACTCCGCAATTGGTGAAGGCATCCACAAACAGAGAGATCAATCATCAAGTGCTTAGTTCTTCAACAAAGGAGTGATCAACGGAGTTCTTCCCGGAGATCAACCCGTAACAACAAAGTGCTGCTCGACGTTCTTGGCAATTAAATACATCACAAGAAGGTCTACATCATCCTACATTCGAGAAAGACGCTTCTCAATTACATTAATCGTTGGAGGGCGTTAAGCTTGGACCGCAAAGATCGCCTTTCAGAAATATCTGCTGTGGAAATGTGCATTCAAGGAATGCACTGGGGCCTTTTGTACATCCTACAAGGGATCAAACCGCAAACTTTTGAAGAACTTGCAACACGAGCGCACGACATAGAGTTAAGCATCGCAAGTCATGGAAAGGCATCTCCATTTGCTGATCAAAAGGAGTTCAAGAAAAACGTTGCATAAAAAAACCAAACCAAAGAATCAATGGAGGTGAAAGCAACTTCTGTGAAGGTCACTACCAAGCAAAAAGTGAAGGAGGATAAGACCCCGAGTCAATATCCCAAAGAGGAGAAGCGTTGTCCCACCTTGAAGGAATTAGAGGTGAAGGTTTATCTATTTCCAGATTCAGATGTACCCACCATCCTTGATGAACTGCTGGGCAAGAAAGTCATCGATCTCCCTGAATCAAAAAGGCCAGAGGAAATAGGCAAAGTTGGCGATCCGAAATACTGCAAGTTTCATCGCGTCATTAGCCACCCTACAGAGAAATGCTTCGTCTTAAAGGAGAAAATTATGGCTCTTGTAAGTGAAAGAAAAATCATCATAGACATGGGTGAAACAGCAGAAGCAAATCATGCAAGTATCGCGCTCAAGGAAAAAATGTGTTCAAAGTTGCATAACGTGTCAAGCACTGCCTTCTTACAATTTGGAAGTTTCGAGCCCGTTGAAGTTGTTCTTCCAAGGGAAACTCTTGAAGGTTCACTAGAGCTAGACAATCACTCCAAAGACAAAGACGATGAGGGTTGGATTCTAGTCACTCACAAGAAGCGAAAACATCAGGCAGTTTTGAGGCTACCACTTCCTAAGCCAAGAGCAAAAATAAGCGATGTGGATAGGCTACAACCACCAAGAATTATCAAATCTTCTAACAGTGCCTTATCCCCGAAGTTCCGAAAGCCCATCACATTGCATGAATTCTTTCCTGGAAAATTCTTTCATAGAAGTCACGTTGGTGCAACTCATGTAGTTTCTAGTACTGACAAAACAACGGAAAGCAACGATGAGCCTTCTCCAATGAAAACACAAGAACATCATGATAACGGAAAAGTTGTCACATGTTGTGCAACAATTTCATTCACAGATGATGACTTGCTGCTGGGGTCTAAGCCACATAACAGACCTTTGTTTGTTGTAGGTTCCATTCGGGAACAACATCTCAATCGCATACTTGTTGATGATGGTTCGGCTGTCAACATCATGCCAAAGATGGTGCTAAAAAAGCTTGGGATCTCTATCGATAAGCTATCTAAAAGTACAATCCAAGGTTTCAACCAAGGGGGACAATGAGCCGTTGGTATGATCCGCGTAGGATTATCCATTGGTGAGATGAATTCAAATACCTTGATTCACGTCATAGATGCGAAAACATCATACAACTTGTTGCTTGGACGTCCTTGGATTCATGAGAACGGGGTGGTATCATCTACTTTGCATCAATGTCTAAAGTACAGAAGAGATGGTGAGATAGTCAAAATTGATGCAGACATCAAGCCTTTCACCGAGACGAAGTCATACTTTGCAGACGCAAAATTCTACCTTGATTCTTGTGAACCGAAAGTAGAGAAATCATCATCAGATGAAGAAGATGATGCCAAGTCAGAAGAGGAAAACAAGGCTCAATGGACTACCACCAAGGTTCCTAAGAAGGGAACGGAAGAAGTCTCCATTAAGATATCATCATCTAAAGGTGACATACAGACAAAGACTGAGGAGCATCTAGTTTTTCGCTATGTTCCACGTGAGCGTCGAAAGAAAGGGAAACCTTTGCATCAGGAATGTACTCCAAAGAAGCAGGTGAGTCACAAAGATATCCAATATTTGAAGGAGCATATGACTGTCCCAGTCGCACAAATCCCATCCGTGCCTGGTGAGTCTGCTAAAGGCAATTTCCAAGCTGATAAAATAAAAGGGCACTATGATCCTAAGGCCTGCAAACTGCTTGAAAAGTCTGGTTATGACTTCTCCAATCCATCACAACTAGGAGAACTCAAAGACGAAGTCACTGGTGAAAAGATACATGGGCTCAATGAGTCCCAAATAATGTTGAGAAAGCAAGGGCACTACGTCGCCACTCCAAAGTTTGGGTTGGAGTTCAGGTTGGCAGAGCCTCTTCGAATTTCATCAAAGAGAAGCAAAGAGATAGCTTCATCACAATACTCCTCGGTAGAGGAGATGAAGGAAGTTAAGGGCAAGAAAATAAAACAACGGGCTTCAGTATTTGATCGCATTGGAGGCTCAACCCCTCCGGTCTCGGTGTTTGAAAGGCTAAGTCACAAAGGTGAACGTGTATCTCCCAAACATCTAAAAGAAGTTTCCACTACCTCAAAGACCTCTGTCTTTCGTCGCCTAGGGACCACAGGGAAGTCTCCATCTAGAAAGATACTGTCGAAACACAAGGAGCAAGTCCATGAGGAGCGGGATCATTTTGAAGTTGTTGCTGACAAAGAAATATGTAGTGCTTTCCCATCACGTATGAAGAGGAAGTCTATTTTGTCAATATCCACAGATGGTCCGCTGAAGGTGCAAAGGAGAACCATTGTTTACACTTGCCAGCCTCATAAAGAAGCAAAGAAAGAGAAAGAAGCCATGCCGACCACCCAAGGAAGTCAAAGAGAAAAGTCAGACTTTGTGGAAACATCCTATCACATAACTGTGGAAGATAGCCCATGCCTTGACATTGATGATGAAGTACACGAGGCTCCCCCTCAACTAGAAGATGGCGGACAATCGACTGTGGATGAGATTAAGGAACTCAATTTAGGTACTCTGGAAGATCCACGCCCCACCTTTATTAGTGCACTTCTTACGCCTCAGGAGGAGGAGGAATACTCCAAGTTGTTGGCCGAGTACAAAGATGTCTTCGCTTGGTCGTATAAAGAAATGCCCGGTCTTAGTCCTAAGGTAGCTGTTCATCATTTAGGGATCAAAAGTGGAGCACGCCCTGTGAAGCAGTCACAACGCATGTTTCGACCTGAGCTTGTGTCCCAAATTGAAGGCGAAGTAGGTGAAGTACCCATCATGGATATCGAATATTGTACCTGTCAAGAAGAAGAATGGTCAAATACGTGTTTATG